GTTTTAATTAGACAATTCCTTTTGTTTGTGGCACTAAAAATATAATGTAAGTCTTTTATTTTTGCAATCATTTAAGTACCTATTTATATTTACTCCATTTACAAAACTTTGGGCGTATTAGGTTGGTCTTGTTTTATTATATTAAACGATGTTTAAATATTTATGACTTATAAATAAAAACTTTAAATAATAAATAATATTTCACTTGTTTGGCCTTAATTTTATTTAATAATTGTATAAATTATACTGTTAAATCTTATTTTTTACACGTCACAACGATACTTGTTATTAGTATTGTTGAATTTGAGTAAAAAGTAAGATTTAATAATCAAATTTAATTATTTTAGAGTAGAATTCAATAAATACGCTCATTTAAAAAGCCCGCGATTCGATCCATTTAAAACAAGCCCTACTCAATAGATGGCGCCACTTCTGTAGGACCATTTTTCAGTATGGCAGAGTCCATTCTTTTTCTAGCTCGGTATATTCTTTGATCACAATTTTATACGGTTTAGAAAGTACGAATTATACATTGTTATGGAAACCATGGACATCATATTGTCATAATATGGTCATAATCATATGTCATAATTTTATTTCCATTGTGTAACGATGCTTAATTTTATTAATTACTCTTTTATCGACCGCTTTTATATAGCCAAGGATGCAAGTGTGTTCAATGAGAAGTTAATCTTAAGTTTGTGCAATTATATTTCTATTTTTTTTCGTTGGACTTTCTAAATACTCGTAAAAATGACTAGAAAGTGTTTAGTGTGTGAAAGTTCTAATATAAAGGTCCCCGAATTATCTTTTTATAGGCAAGTAAAGTATTCAGTTGTTCTTTTTATTTATATTAAGCCACATGCACACTTTCTGGTTAGATTTCCTAAAAATATTGATATTCGTACAGAGTGGCTAATTTATATATAATTTAATTTTTGTGACTGTAAACATTCAATTTATTTTTCAAATATAAGCATTTTACAAATTAAATTTTTAAAATTAAGGTTCAAATTTGGCGCGGGGACGATAGGTCCTCGACAAGGATAGATAGAGTAGAAGAACCGCGTGTGCGACACAAAAAGAAGATAAAAAAGTCGTTGATATGTTTGCGACAGCTTCCATAGTGATTTACTTATCCACGTAAGTATATATGATCTAGGCACAGTAGTGGATCAAAACATAGTAAACCCCGACAATTTCCAAGGTGAACCAACCCTATATAATTCATCCTCGAAGCTGATTTAGTTTGGACATCCAACATGTGTCCGTGAATTTGCGCGTCGACTTGAGTTAGTATCGGCGTATTTCCTCGGCTGGAGTAACATTATTCCAAGTCGGACTTTTCCCAAAGCCATTTAATCTCTGGGCTCTAAGTAGCGGAGCTCGATCAAAGTTATGAGGGGGCTGGAATAGAGCCCCTCTGAACGGGGGTTTGATATATACATTGCTAGCAGCCCGCTAAGATTTTGCGTGGGGGTAGTAGCATGAAGGAATGTGTATTATGCATTATTATTACCTGACATGATTTGTAAAATTGAAATCAATACATTTCAACATTTACAATAAAGAGTACAAAATGCATTCGGTTGTTGGCTATGCGAGTCCAAGTTGGTCCATCCAACGATTTGGAGATCGCCCTCTAGGATGTTTTCCGTTCACTTTTCCCTTCACAATTAGCTTTTTTAGGCCATTGGTGTTCCTAGATATGTGGCCATATGTGTTGTACATTACTTTAGTTTTTGTTAAATTCATTTTGAAACCTACTTTATCGCTGGCTGTTAATCATCGCTGGCAATGAAGATTAATGTCATCAGCGAATCATAGATGGTTACAATTCTCCATCTATTTTTAATTTTTTTTCCAGTTGGAAAAAAGATTAAAAATAGATTGGAAATTCTGGGGTTGTTTTAAGATTTTGCGTGGGGGTAGTAGCATGAAGGAATATGTATTATGCATTATTATTACTTGACATGATTTGTAAAATTGAAATCAATACATTTCAACATTTACAATAAAGAGTACAAAATGCATTCGGTTGTTGGCTATGCGAGTCCAAGTTGGTCCATCCAACGGTTTGGAGATCTCCCTCTAGGATGTTTTCCGTTCACTTTTCCCTTCACAATTAGCTTTTTTAGGCCATTGGTGTTCCTGGATATGTGTTGTACACTACTTTGTTTTTGTTAAATTCATTTTGAAACCTACTTTATCGCTGGCTGTTAATCATCGCTGGCAATGAAGATTAATGTCATCAGCGAATCATAGATGGTTACAATTCTCCATCTATTTTTAATCTTTTTTCCAGTTGGGAACCCTGGGGTTGTTTTATATATCATTATGTATCTATACTCTTAAAACTAGAGCAACGGACGGCAAGGCTAAACCTATGCAAAGTCCAGAGACTAGCATGTCTTTGCATCACAGGAGCCATGAGAACCTGTCCAACAGCAGCAATGGAGGTCATTCTAGATCTAACACCACTGCACATTGTCATTGGTAGATATGCCAATGCGACAATAATTAGAATGGTCACTAACGGAATTAGTACTGGGAGAATTGTCAGATCAGGGGCTTGGAACACCCTCAAAAAGGAAATACCACTCCTGCAACTCCCAGTGGACGATATGCCAAGAACGTACAACTTTGAGAAACATCTCAATGTAGTATTGAGCAATAAAAAGGATTGGAAGAGCGAAACGCTTGCCCAGCAGTTAAAAGACCATACCATAATTTGGTATACTGATGCTTCCAAAACCAATACGGGAACAGGGATCAGGTGTTTGGGCCGAGAGCTAATTACTCCGAACCAATGGGCACTTACCTAGTATCCTACAGGCAGAAATTTACGCTATCGAGAGATGCGTACAACTTATCTTAGATAGGAACTATCGGAAACAAGAAATAGCCATCTTATCTGATAGTCAAGCAGCGTTAAAGGCGATCAACTCAGTATCAATCAATTCGAAATTGGTCAAAGAATGCATAGAGAAGCTGAATAAATTAGGCAAAGAAAACAAAGTCCTCCTACTCTGGGTGCCTGCTCACCAAGGGATAGAAGGCAATGAAAAAGCAAATTATCTAGCTAGGAAAGGAGCGAACACTCCACTAACTGGACCAGAACCGTTCTGCTTTCCAAGTGGTAACCAACTCAAGGCGGAACTCAAGAACTTGGAAGATTCCATCCGCAACCTGGAATGGAAATCTTGCAATGGTCTAAAACACTCGAAGAAGTTTCTGAGGGCTTATGATCAAGAAAAATCACAGATCTTCCTGGGTCTGAGTAAGAACAATCTTCGGATTGTCACGGGGTTTTAACAGGACACTGTCTCCTCAATGAACACCTCAGTAGATTGAAACTAAGAAGAAACGGCGAATGCAGATTCTGTGGGGAAGATGGTGAAACACCAGTACACCTCATCACTGAGTGCGCCGAGACGACAACCATTCGTGCCATGAATTTTGGTACGACTGATATTGAGATGGAGAACTACCCTCTATAAAACCGTCCCAGATACTGGCTTTTGTCAAAGCCCTGGGACTGTATGATGAGTTATGATTCAAGAAAGGGGGACACAATGGATCTGTAAGGTCGAAGTGATTAACCCCCTCCCACTCATTCTAAATTCTAAAAAATTCTAAATCTATACTTTTGTTTTGGCTTCTTTGTATATATTGGCGAGAGTAATAAATCTACAGGACGATAAATCCAGTGTAGGTATATAAATTAATATTCCTAATAAATACTCGAACAATCTATAGGGGGGGGATGATACAAGAAAAGGACAACTGTAGGGGCAGGGACTACTTAATCCGTGGCCACCCTTTGGGGAGTCCCGGCTTAAGAAGCTACCGATAGACGAGGCCCTAACATCGAGACGATGCCATTGTTGTACCTGGAGGAGCCCCATTAAAAACAAATTAATCATTATGGACGAGCTCGAAGCTAAGTTGTTAGGTTTTGTTGGGTAATCGGAAGCATATAATTTGTGGGATAAGTGGCTTATTGGATATGAGCCAGGAATAAAATATATTAAATAGAGGTATTTTAATACTGCAATTTTTGAAAATAACCTGATTCTTTTTATTTAAATCATCATTTTTTTATTTCAATTTCTATCATGGTTCCATCTTTGTTGCTCCTTAGGATGTAGTGCCATGAAAAAAGCTTTTAAAATTTCAAGTATTGATGAGTTTTTCGAGAAACGGATTTTTTTGCAAATCGATTTTATTTTTTTCTGTCGTTACTTTTTAGAAAATCAAAAAACTAATTGCATATTCTCATAGCCACTTTATTAGGGCTATATGATAGGGTTTTTAGACTTTTAAATTAGCTGATAACTTGTGAGATACAGAAACCAAATTAATTTTTTATTTAAAGTTTTGGAAGAACTCGTCTTCTGAGTACAATTATATGCCCCACTTGATGCTTTTTTTTGTTTTGGGTACCTTAACAATATATATATATATATATATATATATATATATATATATATATATATATATATATATATATATATATATATATATATATATATATATATATATATCCTCCTACAGCCTCTACCGCATCCCGCATTTCGATCGCCATTTTTCTCTGTTTTGCCATTCGTCATCTTTAATGGCCCTATCCCTCATTGTTTTTCTAATTCCTTCTTCCCATGATATCACTGGTCTTCCTCTTCTCCTTCGATTTCTAGGGGCATATTCTATAGCTCTTTTGGCCATCGGTCTTCCCCAGCTCTCATCACATGTCCATACCAGACAAGTTGTCTTGTTTCTATGTTGTCTATAGTTGTGAATACCTTTCCTGTCTTTCTTCTTATATCTTCATTTCGAATATGTTCTGTTCTTGATATCTGACACGCTCTTCTCAAAGAAATCCATTTCTACCACATCCACTCTTTTCTGTTTTTTCAGTCAATTGCCAGCATTCTGACCCGTACGATAAAATAGGCTTTACTATCGATTTGTAGATTGTCATTTTAGTTTTTAATTTTATTTTATTCGACCAAAGTACTGAATTTAGAATTCGGATACATTTCTGCCTTTGTTGTGTTTGTTCTATGTTGAATGTCCCTGTTTGATGTTCCTTCTTGAGATATTATAGTTCCTAAATATTTGTATTCTTCGCATTGTTTTATATTGCTGAGTTCTAAGCTCCGGTCTACTTGTCCATCGTCTGCCATTTTTAGATATTCTGTTTTTGTCATGTTCATTTTCAATCCCCATTCTGCGTACTCCTCTTTCAATTTTCTGAGCATATAGTCAATATCTTCCTCATCATTAGCAACTATAACCTGATCATCGGCGAACAACAAGGTTGTCAAGCAATGATTACCAATCTGTATCCCCATTCCTGAGCATTTACGTCTCCATACATCCAGAGCTTCCTTGGCATAAATTTTAAACAAAGTAGGCGACAAGCAACAACCCTGTTTAAGGCCTTTCGAGATATTGAATGGTGCTGATATATTTTTGTCAATTTTTACGGCGCTGGTTGCGTTTTTATAAATGTTATGGATTGCGTGGATGTATACTTTGTTTAGGCCGATTTTCGTCAGAGTTTTGAAAAGTTTTGTTAAGGGTACCGTATCGTATGCTTTTTGAATGTCGATAAAAATCAGATGGGTGGATAAATTTCGAGGTATTCTCTTTTCAATAACTTGTTGTAAGGTGAAAATATTATCTAATCACAATCTTCCTGCGCGAAAACCACTTTGCTCCTCTAGTTCTTGGCATTCCATTTCAATTCTCGTTTTCAGAATTCTACCATACAACTGGTGACACTGATACCTCTATAGTTTTCACACACCTTCATATCTCCTTTCTTATGGATGGAACTAATATATGATATGCTCCAGTCTGTAGGAATATCATCTCCTCGTATGAGACATCTGTTAAAAAGTTCTGCCAAAACTTCCAGTAGTATGATTGGTCCGTGTTTTACCAGTTCAATGGGAATGTTTCCTGGTCCTGAGGCCTTGCCACTTTTTATATTCCTAAGAGCTTTTTCTATTTCATTTATATTTATGTTGTCTGTGTCCACCTGTGTGATTTTAATTTCTTCTGTTGGTTCTATGAAGTGTTCTCGATCTTCTGTGAGTAAAATCTTATAATATTCTTGCCATTTTTCCATATTTATCATATCTATATGAGCAGATTGCTTATTTTCTCGTCGAATATTTTTAATTGCTTTCCACGCCTCTGATACTTTTGATCCGCCCATATACCTTTCGATGTGTTCGCATTTCCTGTCCCAACTTTCATTTTTCTTTTCGCGTACAATTCTTTTAACTTCTCTATTACAACGTTTGTATGCTATCTGATCCTCAGGGTTTTCTGTAAGTAGCCACTTCTGATAAGCTTTCTTTTTATTCTTTGTAAGCTCTTCCAATTCCTCAGACCACCATTCCGGATTTTGTGTACATCGATATTTTTGATGTCCTAAAGCTTCTTCGGCTGCTTGATGTATAGAGTCTTTAATGGTTTTATATAACTCTTCGGTATTAATTTGTTCCATTTGTATATTTTGTAATTTTGAAGCCAGTCTAAGTTTATAAAAGAAATTGTACTGATTCATGCCTGAGACTATCAAGTTGTAATTAACCGAATCTACCTTTCCTTGGTTGCCCTTGTGCTCTTCTCTCTCCTTTTGTGAGCTCCTGTAATTAATTACCACTTTGGCCATCAACAGATAATGGTCAGAACCGCACTCTATGCCACGATATACCCTAACGTCATTGGTTTTTAAAATTGAATTTTGTCGCAGGATCATATAGTCAATTATAGAGCTAAGCCTTCTTGTTCTTTGGAGCCATGTAAACTTGTGTACCTCTTTATGTGGGAAGAATCCGTTCATGATCTTTAATGTTAAACTTTCACACATGTTGATAATTCGCTGACCATTATCATTAACTGGTTGTTTCCCATGTTGTCCTTAACAATACCTTAACTGTTGACCTTAACAATAACAAAACTATTTAATTATTATTTAAAATAATTTCAAGTCCGACGCTGGTTTTTTAAATTATTTAATTTGATTATATTCATCAGCGTTAATTAACATTGAATAAGAAAGATCGCGCGAGCCAATTGAATAAATAATATCCAGTTCACCAATTTACAGAAATTATTTTTAACTTCTTTTATTGTGAATTTGAAATCTCAATATACGATCTAATAATATTCATAACAATCGCAGTTCTTATATAGTCTAAGAGCTAGCAACGTTTTCGAGAAAGTATTTTAAGACGTCTGTATATCTTTTACTATGCTCTCTGGAACAGCATGCGGCCCGTCTGGCTGCCGATACCCGTTGCGTTCACTACTGCGCATCGGAAGAAGATCCTATATTTTTATTAATTTAGTCCTATAAATTCTGGTATTGAATATAAATCGAACATGTCTCCATAGCGCAGTGCGTAGAGTTCCCGACCACGAACCGATGCGATGATCCAGAGTTCGAATCCGGGTCAGGGCAAACACTTTTTTATTCTATTTTCATTTATATTCTGATAGTTAAGTATTAAACAATCCTGGTGATTCAAAAAGAAAACAAATATTTAATACTTTACTATCAAAATATAAACGAAAATAAAAAAAAAGTCTTTGCCCTGACCCGGATTCGAACTCTGAATCATCGGTTCGTGGTCGGAAACTCTACGCACTGCGCTATGGAGACATGTTCGATTTATATTCAATACTAGAATTTAAAGGACTAATAAAAATATAGGATCTTCTTTGAATGCGCAGTAGGGAACGCCAGACGGACCGCATGCTGTTCTAGAGAGCATAGTAAAAGATATATCAAAGAGCCAGACGTCTTAAATACTTGTTTTTCCTACGTTGCTAGCTCTCGTACTATTATAAATAAATCAACTTCTACAAACAAGTTTCTAATGCTCTACATGTTCGAAAGGGTTACAACCATTCCTAATACACAAATTTATTTTTATTTGTCGGTCAATCTTATTTATGGTGCTTTGAACATATCTTCTTATACTTCCGAATGCACCTAAACTAACCAACTACAAAGAAAGTATCTAAATATGTGAGGGTGGCTACACCATGATTACAAATAGTTGAATAATCTGAAAACGATGATGATCATGATATAAAGATTCGTGATCTTCAGAGAAATTCATATAAGATTCTGTTTAACGTGGGGTAAGCACACTTATAGTAATAGGACGCCAGCTTATAATCAACACCGCATTGACGGTGGATGAAAATATTATAGAGCGAGTACCACGATTTAAATATCTAGGTGCTATGATCAATGATGGGACTGCGATGAGGAAGTTAAACTGAGAACGAATTATGCAAAATCAACATTTTTTAAACTTCCTATTAGCACGCAGTCTCCCGCTAGCACTTAGACTACGGGTAGTAAAATGCTACATATGGCCTATCTTACTATACGGCGCAGAAACGTGGTCTGTCAAGGCTAGAACCCTGAACCGCATCGAGGCTTTCGAAATGTGGACTCTCCGGAGACTCTTACGTGTACCATGGGCCGCACATACCACCATCGAAGAAGTTTTAAGAACTGCAGGTTATGAACGAGAAATGCTTAATATAAACACACCGGAAAAATCTAGGGATATCATTTTATTAAAATTAAAAATAAATGTTTTGAATAAACAACCACATATTTCTAGGTCGATTCTTTCTATTTCAATTGAAACGAAGTAGTCACACCGGTTATTTCTAAATTCCGCATATTTTCAGAATTTTTTATGCATTTTTTGTCAAATGTATAAAAAGCACCTAGCATCAATTGTTCGAATTTAAACTCTACTGGCTATGTTTCTATAACTGGCTGGTCATTCAAAAAACTTTGTTTAGTATTAACGTTATGGAGTGTAGACGTCTTAACAGAGACGAAATACTCAGGGCCGTGGGTATGCTCGAAGCTGGAATGAGTCAAATTTACGTAGCTAGAGCATTAAATACAACGCAAAGTGTAATATCGCGATTAAGTGCACGCTACCGTGTTTCAGTGATGTTGCTGAAAAACACCCAGGGCGACATCGCGTTACTACCCCTCAGCAAGATTATTTTTTACAATTAAATGCTCGACGCCGACCCACTCTTACAGCACCAGAGCTTAGTTTAATTCTCCAGGAAACACATAATGTAACCGTTAGTCCTGACACTGTTCGCAATTGATTAAGAGAGGTCAACTTAAGAAGCAGACGCCCCTGGAGAGCTGAACCCTTAACGAGAGGAAATCGAGAGGTACGATATTTGTGGGCTCAAGATAATGTTCAGTGGTCGAATGAACAATGGGCCAATGTGCTCTTCACGGATGAGTCACGCTTTGGAATTCATACGGATTTGAGAAAGCTTAGGGTATGGAGAGAACCTGGAAATCTTATTCGGTTGGATCATGTTTAGGAAGTGCACCCTTATTAAGGTGGAACAATTATGGTCTGGGGAGGAGTCCAGTTAGGCGGAAAAATCGATCTCGTTTTTCTTGAAAGGTTTCTAACTCGAATCACATACCGTGATTTAATTCTTGAGCCTGTCGTGTTACCATATGCCAATGATTTTGGAAGAAACTTCATTCTCATGCATGACAATACACGGCCTCATACAGCCAGAGTGGAAAGTGAGTTTATCAATGCTCATCAATTAAACATCTTACCCTGGCCGGCACAATCTCCTGACCTCAACCCCATCGAGCACGTATGGGACGCGGTTCAAAAAAGAAGTTTAAGAATGAATATGCCTCGTGAAACTCGTAGGGATCTGGTTCGGGCCGTGCATGCAGCGTGGCAGGCTGTACCTCAAGAAGAGATCGACAACCTGATCAGGAGCATGGAGAGACGATGTGGGGCTGTAATGAACAGTAAAAGAGGCTATACTCTTTATTAAGTAAAAATGGTTTTATCTTCTTTTTTCATTCGCAGTTTAGAATAAAAAAAAATGTGTATTTATCTGAGTTCAATAAAAATCAAGGTAAATTTGAAAATTTCGGTAAATTTCGCGTTTTTATTTTCAAAACGCCCTCTAAACCATTTGTTTATTTTAATTTTATTATATCAGAAATGCAAAAAATAAAATTACTGACGATGGCTGGATAAAATTGTAATATCCCTAGACTTTTCCGGTGTGTTTAGTTAAAGAAAGAAAAGTTTCATACCTCAGACAAATATTACATTCCTCAGCTGATTCTACAAGGAAAAATAAAGGGACGGCGAGGCCCAGATCACAACCTAACCATATTTCGAAGAGCCGAAAACGGCACTCTACACATTGTATGAAGAGTACAGCCAATCGCCAATGTGCGGCTAAGCGCAAGGTACAGGAAGAAGAAAGAAGCACATATTACAGAGCTCTTTAATTGGAAAGGCCATACATTATCCCACCCAGACGGAAAGCGAGAAAGAAACGGAGCGGAAAAGCGGCGGCAAAAAGCTTTTCTTTGGAAATTAGCGCTAGAGGAGCTCTCCGAGGCAGATTTATCACTTGTTATGCAGGTGTGTGAGTGGCGCGCCGCGGTATAAAATATGAAATACGCCGCCAGCCTTGCGTCTTGTCGGCCTCCTTTGATTTATTAGCGGTGTTCATTAAATAGCTGCGGTTTTCTCCTCTTACCGGGAGAAAGAGGGTGCCGCCATTCTTCGGTTTTCACCTTCGTCCCTGTGAGGGAAAAATGCGGGGGGATGAAAGAACAGCGCGACAGATTAAACTGTTGCTTGGTGGGAGTTAAACTCCTTGTCTTTGAGGACTGGGAGTTATGTTCTTTTATTTCTTTAAGTATGAATATTCTAGTATTATAACGAACTGTATATTACTTTAGATTTTGATAAATTGATTTTGAGACCTATTTTAATGCTGGCTATAATTAGTTCGTTAATTTATGCTTGTAGACTTTTGGCAAATAAGACAATACATCAGAGAATCTTAGATGGATAATGTTAAGTTATCTTTTGTTGGTCCAGTCCAGTAGACTGAAGATTCCTTCTAGTGTTCCTGGCGAGTCTGTTGGCTTCTGCTGCTTCCTCTAATCCCTCCAAAAAATCTTGCCCTAAAATTTTAACGCGTCGGTATTCCAGTGCCGGACAGTGGCACAGCATGAATAATTTCTTCTTCGTCTCCGCATTCTCTGCAGTAGTCATCGTTGTAAATCTTCCATATCACGAGGTTTACTCCTGTGAGGCAGTTTCCAGTGATGACACCTACAATTATGCGTACTAAGTTTTTTCTGCTCTAGTAGCTCCCAAGCAGAATTTGGACGTCGGGACAACGTTATGTCACGCGACCAAACGTCGGGGCGCAACGTCGGCACAACCTCATGCCAACCCTAGTCTGCACTAGTTTGGAGAATAATTTTTGGGTCGAAATGACGTTGGATACCGACGTTGGCTAGCAGCCTAATTTAGTATAAACTGCAACGTTGTTTAAAATCCTAATTCACAGAAATACAAAACTATAATAATATGGCGTCTAAGTCGCGTTTTATCCTAAATTGGGATAATTATAGTAAAAATATTATTTTTATGATTTAATTAGAGACCTATGCCAGATGACAGTAAAGGAAATCAAAACAAAAGTATTTAAGTTTAGAGGATGTTTGCAGACCATAATTATTGAAACACTTTAACCGACTCTGTAACTCGTTACCCAAGGCAAAAAAGTTAAACGCAAACAACTTTATTGATAAATATATTGTTTCTACTTTGAAAAATATTAATGGGCTTTAAAATTAAAGAAGTTTTGAAAAAATTTCTTGAATTTCTTTTTTTAGTAAAATGAGAATAATTTATTTGCAGTCAAAAAAAATGTTTCCGCGTGTTGTTTAGGGTCAAATATTTCAAGTTAATGTATTGAAAAAGCAGGAATTGCTATTTTAGGTACGAAACATTTTCTTATTCAACA